CTGGGAGGGAGCACAGCCATCCCCAAACCCTCCTAAAGCAGGGAAGGAACACAGCCATCCCCAAAGCCTCCTGGAGCAGGGCTGGGAGGGAGCACAGCCATCCCCAAACCCCCCTAGAGCAGGGCTGGGAGGGAGCACAGCCATCCCCAAACCCCCCTAGAGCAGGGCTGGCACAATTACAAGGTGAGTTTGGAGACACCTCCCAGCATCCCTGCCTGCACACCAGTGGGTGCCTCCATTTGCAGCTCTTTGGTGCTGCAGGGGATATGGCAGCTGTGTGAGAACATGCAGCACCCTCGAGCAGGACAAGAACTGAAGGAAAAACAATGTCTATTTTAGCCTGAAACCACGAGAAAAATAGAGATAGCCAAAAAAGAATGAGCAATTTGATCAGGAAACATGAGCAAGCCATCCAGCTCCATGGAAAATACAAAGGGTCTGTCAGTAACCACACAAGGTCAGGATCTGGGGATTATATCTTGTCTGAAAGATAAAACTTATAGTGATATTTTTAAAAATAAGTTTATGTTTGATACTCAATAAAAAAAAAAATTAACTCCCAGAGGATCACAATATTGAATATGTGATGATTTCTGACACTGTTTTCCAGATAACAATGGAAAACCTCATCTGGCTTAAGTTTCCAAGCTTTGTTTTACAAAAGTCTTATTCTTTGAGTTATCTGGATGTTTAACTTAGTGGGACAATTATGAATTGCTCTTGTCTGGACTGCAAGGAAAAAAAAAATCTCCCAGAAGTATTGCCCAGGGTTTGATCTTTCTCTGTTGTCCCTTCACAACAGCTGATGCAAGGCTGTGCTGTGCTAATGAGAAGCCCCCTCAGTCTGAAGGATGAGCTCTCACTATAATTTTGGCTAAGCTAAGTTTTTCTTGGTTGTGATAGTCCATTTGCTCCTCATGTAATCACTCAGCTCCTTCCTCTTGACAATGTCAGACTCTGAGAGCAGAACCAGCCCCAAGCCCCATTTATCAGTGCTTCCTTTTTAGTGAAACCTCCCTAAAAACCTCTGGGAGGAGGTGAAGGATGCAGTGCTCCCAGCACCAGGCAGGGTTCCTGTGTCTCCTTTGGCAGGGGCCATGCCCTGCTGGCCTTGCCACCGTGGCTGGGAGCTTGGAGGGCTCAGCTGGTCCCAGATGCAGCCAAGGTTCCTGGTGCAGTTGCCTGACCATCAGAACCTGGACAGCAGCCCTGAATTCTTTTCTTACAAGTCACTTGGCCAGGCCCCAGCTGGTAAATACTTTCAGTCCCTGCATCCCAGCCTGGGGTGGGAGCAGTGACCTCAAGGTGAAAGAGTGCCTGGCCCATCCCTGGTCCCTCAGGGCAGCCAGTCCTCTCAGCCTGGCCCTGCTCAACAGTTCAGGTGTGAGAACCAGAGGGAATAAAAATGCCCAGACAGGGGTGGAAATAGCCATCAGCACCTCTCTCTGCTCTTGCTGTTTGAAACTGGAGCCAGATTCATTCTGGGTAGGAAACAATTCTCCCATCTTGCCAAAAATCAGAGATATTTCAAAATTTCCCAAAGCCATGGTGTTTTCCAGAAGTCTCAGGAAAAACATGAGCAGCCACCCCAAAGTGTCCAACAGCCAGAGGAGACCTGAGGCATCTCCATTTCAGCTCAGGGCTCTTGGTTTTTCCAAGCTGGGTGTCTGTCCAGCTTTCCAGCAGTGCTGTTCACCCTCCATGGGCAGCCCTGCTCCTCTGCAGAGGGGATTTGGGCCAGGAGTGCCCAGGAGCAAAGGGAATGTTCTCCCCACCAAGCCATGGAGCTGGGCTCACCCACATTTTCACATCCAGGACCCAGAACAGCCTCACAGAGCTGGACAGACAGACAGCCTGCCAGAGATGGACATCCAGACCCTGCTCTGACTTCCCCCAGCTCTGGGGAGGGTGCTTAACACATGATGTAGAGTGAGGAAGGGGAGTGTCCAGCAAAGGAATGGCATGAAGGGAGAATATGCTCAATACCCATCCCAGATGGATGCAATTTCAGCTGAGCAGGGTGTGCAAATGAAGCTTTTCTGTGTTATTCACGATGGCACGTTCGGAGAGCAAACACATGAAGAACTCAGCTCTCTAAAATGTAAATTCACTGGGGCAGTTCCTTCATTTCTATAGAAACAGCACAGCTTGCCAGTGGCTAACTCAAAGGAGATGTATTCAGATCCCTGTATCAACTATTTTCTTGCACAACTGACCACAAAAAAAAAGAAAAAAGAAAAAAAATCATAACCCCCCAAAAACCTGACAATAATACCATGGCAACTGTGGAGTGAGACATATGGACTGAATTACTTGCTCTGAAATCACACGTATGGTACAGAACACTCACAGGTTATGTGCTCCAGAGGGGAAGGGCTATAACAGCATTTATAAAATGAACTGCTAATGTGCTGTTCTGCTGCAGCTTTGAACATCAAAACAGTTGCAGGGGCTGGATTCCTGTGCCAGGCTCTGCCTGCAGCCCCAGCACAGTAACCTGGGTGGGGATGTGGGACCCAGAGCTGGGAGAAGGGAAGCCAAAGCCAAATTCACCCATGGAGAATCCTCTCTGCAAAGGCAGATCATGGGAGAATTTGTGGGTACAACTCCAGCCAGCTCCACTGGGCACCTCCAAAACCCAGCCAGGTCCCAGTGAGGATTGCCAACGCCATCAGAAGTGTGGGCAGCTTGTCAGGCATGGGATGCTGGGTTTGGCCCCACCTGACTGCTTGACTTGGGGGTGTTGGCCTGGCTCAGGCTGGACTCGGGCTCTCTGTCACTGCCTGAGCTCTCACAGCTTCCTGGTGGTGTCAAACCATCACAGTGACACCAGGTGTGGGGGGAAGCAAGGTCCCCTCTTGTTCAGAGCTGAGAAAAGAATAGAGAAAGGAGCTGACCCTGTAGCCAGGACACATCAGGTGACAGGGGTTTCATGTCCAGCTGGCTCCCCTGGGCAGCCCTGAGCCTCAGCCTCCCCCAGGGGTGCCCTGCTGCCCCCTGAGACCTCACACAGGGGTCTGTCAGCTGCTCCAAGGGTGCCTCATTGTGGGAAATGAGAGGTTTTTATTTCTGTTACCAGCACTGCCACCTGATTTCTACCAGGGAAATTAACTCATGGCCATTAATCAGGAATCCCTAATAAACACAAGGCTGGAATAAGTAATTGTGGCAGGGCTGGGTCAGTACTTTGGCTCTCCCAAGGCACTCCCAGGGTGTTTGGCTGAGCTGTAGCCAGTGGGAGGGCACCGGCTGTGGGGCAGAAAGTTGAACATGAGAGGCGTCTGCAGCCTCAGATATCAAACCCTCGAGCTTGTGAGCACCTGTCAGTGGGTCCTGAACCACCCCCTGCCAGGGAGTTCAGAGCAATGTGCCCTCCTCATGCCTCCCCTGTCACAGGCAGGGCTGCCAGAGCAGCTCCCTGACCTCCAGGCATGGCCTGGGTGATGCACAGAGCTGGGGCTCCAACATGCAGAGCAGGGGCTCTGACCCTTGCATAAGTGACAGCAGCCTTTGGAAAGTGTCCTGGTGTTCCCACAAGCTGCCATGACCTCGTTAACAGCCTGGCTGCATGAAGCACAGCCACAGCAGAGATTTGGGGTGGTAATGTGAGAGCTCAGCCTGCCCTGCTTCCTGCTGGGCTGTGCCCACCCTGTCTGCCAGGCTCTGAAAAGTGTGGAGCTGAGCTCAGGATTGCTGCTCAGGTGACTGAGAACCTGTTTCACAAAGGCAAAACAGAGGGAAAAAGGCCAGAGGGAGAGATGGGGCATCACCCTTGGTTGTGTGGTTTTGGTGCTCTGCTTGTAGCAGCCAGCAGCTCCTGTCACAGACCTGATATCCAGCATCACAGTTCTCATCATGCCTGAATGAAACAGGCACTCTGAGCACACAGGATCATCCCCTGGCCAGCACAGGAGCAGCAGTCCTGGCCCCAGAACACATCCTGCAGGAGCCAGAGAGAGCTGCAGGACATCCTGCATCCTTTGAGCTCTGGGCTCACAAATTGTCCTCTCAAATCTTGTGATAAGGTCTGGGGAGTGGGAATATGGGGAAGTGGCTCTGTCTAGTGTAGGTCTTGAGGTGCTAAGGTTTGTCTTTCCTAAGAGCCAGCCTCACAGACATCTTCAGTCAGAGGGGACAAGAGAAAAGCTTGCAGGGGGCAGAATGAGAAAGCATTGGGAGGCAATGGTTGAACACCTGCTTTTTATCCCCAAACTTGGAATTCTAATTCTCACAATTGATTAAGATGATCATAATACTCCAGGGGCTGAATTGGCATTTACAAGGCTTGAAATCAGCAGGGTCAGACTGCAGCCTTCTCTGCATCAAGACAATGCAGCATGATGTGCATCCAACCACCCCACCCCACCCCACCCCACAGCCTCCCCAGGTGGCCACAGTCCCTCTCAGGGTGGGGATGATGTGGCAGCACCAGCACAGCAAATCCATTTCCAGCTCCTTTGGGTGACCCTGCTTCCACAGCCTGCCATGGACCGGGTGCAGCATTAAATACAGGGGTGGATGCCCTGTTGCTGCCTGCTCCCACAGCAGCAACAGGTCCCAAACCCTTCAAATCCCAGGAGGAAGGTGCCAGCTCTGCCTGGCCAGACTTTGATCAGTAGGACAGGGCGTGAAGCTTCCCTGCCAGGCTAGGGAAAGGGAGCTGGATCACTCCAGCAGCCTGGTTCCTCAGCCTGCTCCCCAGGGACAGCACAGCATCCCTTCCCTTCACTCCTTGTCCCTGTGGACAGCATATTCTCACCTTGAGAAGAGTGGAAATGGCAGCTGGAATGTGGGCTGGAAAAAAAAAAAAAAAGAAAGGAAAAAAAAGAAAATCTTGAGGCCTGTCCAAACCTACTCATGTTTATATTGGAGCCTGTGAGTGACATCAGAGCAGGGAGAGTATAAACACCAGCAGGACCTACCCTGGGCTTTAAAACCTGCAAACACTGCCTCCAAACTGCCTGGGGGGTGATGTGCTGCAGTGGCACAGGGAGAGCAGCATGAGCCTCCAGCTGGAGAAGCAGCTCCTCTTCCTCTCCCTGCTCTGCATTCTCTCCAAGGTAAGGCAGACGGGGCACCGGGGCAGCTTTAGCCGAGGAGCCCCCGGCTCTGGCAGCGTGGGCTGCAGGAGGGATGGGGTGTCACGGCCACTGAGCCCGGCAGCCAGGCTGTGCTGATGCAGGGGGCAGAGCTGTGCTCGGAGTTTGGGATGAAGCAGCGGGGTCCGAGCATTCCTGGGCCCGAGGCTCGCTGTCAATCCCCGGGGCGCACAGCAATGCCAGCAATGCGCTGCCCGCCGCCCCTGCCGCTCTCCGCGCTCGGTCCCCGCCAGGCAGCGAGCAGCAGCTGGGCGGCAGCGGCTCCTCCAGGCTCCTCCAGGCTCCTCCATCCCCGCCCAGGCTCCCGAGGCAGGGGCCAAGCCACGAGCACCAGCCCTGGCATTACTCAGCTCTCCCCACTTCTCGGAATGCTCACGCCAAGCCACTGCCTCCAATGGGATTTGGGTTGTCGTAGAGGTTTCATTAATTTTATTTTTTCTCTTGGACTCTGTGTGAAAATATTTGCCTGTGCAGAGAACAGGAATGTTGAAAAATTTGGGGCATCTCAGCTCCAAGTTCTAATGGCTGCCTGAATCCCCAGGCAGGGGTGTTGTGGCAATGTCGTGCCTATTTGACAATTTTCCCAGAGTTCAGACCTCTGACAGAAGCCACATTGTCATCTAAAGACAAGTAAATTACAAGGAGCAGGGAGAAATGGATTTATGGCTTGCCTAATCTTTCTAAAACATTGATTTGTAATAACAACCTCCTGAAAGATGAAAAATGCCCTTGGCAAACTGTAACAGAGCAGTGATTCCTGCCCCAGGTGCTCATGAGTGCCTGGAGAATCACCAAGGGCCATCATGCTGCCAGCCCAAACCTGGCCACCACAGCTGGTCCCTCAGTCCCTGCCACATTAATAATGCTGCCCACTGGCAAAACTAGGACAAGACCCAGATTACCCCATCCCAATCCATATTTTAACTCCAGTTATTGGCGCTGACACTCCTGCAGCCCCATGGAAAGCGTCTGAACTGCTGCAAATGGGGAGCAGATAGAGCACAGGAGCCACCCTCTCTGTCTGACTCATCATGTCAGACCTGGTGCCCCTGGGAGAAACTGAAAGAAAAAGAAAAATGGTGTCTAAAACCTACATGGTCTGGCTGAGCTCATCGCTCTCCTGGCAGACTGAGCAGTCACACCAGTACCTGGACCAGGGCAGGGATGAATGTTTTGGTTGCAGGTTTGCTGTTCTGGCCCTGCATCCAGCAGCACGTGCATGGTGCTGAGCAGCAGGGCTGCCAGGGGGCTCTCATCACTGTCAGGCCAGCACTGGTGAAGGATTCACTCCCAAACTGCAGAGCCAGCTCTCATGGCTTCGGGCTCTATATGCAATAGCTCTGTCACATGGGATGTGATGGGAGCTCAGGAGCTGCCTCAAAGAGCTGTTGGGGCCAGGGTGGTTGTGGAGCAGGATGAGCCAAGGGTATAAAATCCACCTGCCCAGGTGAACTCCTGTGGGCACCTCCCTGGCAGACAATTGGCTGAGCAGGCAAAGACTGCAGTGCACAGCCCTGCCAAAGTGATCACTCAGTCCAGGCACGAGGGAAAACAGCTCCCAGTCCTTGAAACGTGTCTGTCTCTGAGCTCCTTGCCCAGTGGGCCAGGCCAGGTGAGGATGCTGCAGCCAGGGACAAGCAGAGGATGCAGCTGGACCAGTGAGGAACGCAGCGAGCTCTGCCTGGCCTCAGATCCCCACTGCTGATGCAATGTCCTGTTTCCTGCCATGAATGAGAGCTCTTAAGGCTGTAAGGAGCGAGGTGCTGTGCACTCACCACGTGGATTCAGTCCCTGCAAAGCCACCCCTCCTGGGCTGGGCACAGCCTGCTGCCTTGGGGGCAGGCATGGGGGTGGGCTGCTTTACCTCCCTGCCTTCCTCTCTCCCACCGGGCTGCCTGGGGCTGCTGACCTCACTAAATAACCACCACTGCCTGGGATGTTCACCTTGTAGCTCCATCCTCCTGTGTGTTCAGAGCAGTGGCACATTACAGCCCCCATCTTTCAGAGTGCTGAGCCTCTGAGCATCCTTGATTCTCCCTGGTTTTCCATAGGTGTCCTTCAAAGGGGACAGTAGCCTTGTAGCTTTCCAGGATGCTTTGAGATATTCCCATGGATTTGGAGCCTCCCTCCACCAAAAATCTGTCCCCATGGTTGAGACAAAGCTACCTGGCTGTCCCAGTGACAAAGCAGCTGCTAGCCCGAAACCACCTGTATGGATTCAGCTTTGCCCCCACAGGTTTGTGCCCAGCTGTGCCGGAGGCCGTGCTACTGTCCCTGGGTGCCACCCCGCTGTCCCCGCGGCTCCCCCCTGGTCCTGGATGGGTGTGGCTGCTGCAAGGTCTGTGCCCGGCGCCTGGGAGAGCCCTGCGACTTCCTGCACGTCTGTGACCAGAGCCAGGGCCTCGTCTGTGACTACAGCTCAGCACCTGCGGGGACAGGAGGCACCTGCAACTGTGAGCACAGGGGTGCCCCCTTTCCCCGGGGGTACCCGCACAGTCCAGCCCAGCACACAGCCCCACTCCAGCTCCAGCCATGGCCTCTCATGGCTACAGGCACCCTGCAGCACCAGCAGGGGAGTGGGTGAGGCTAGGAGAGCAGCTTTCCTGAGGACGGTGCATGCAGCTTGGCTGTGGGGCCGTGCCCCATCTCCTGCCGGCTCTTGTGCTGCTTTCTGGCTGAGAATTCAGGATGGTTTCAGTGACAATGGACAGGGGGGTCCCAGGGGTGCCAAGGCTGGAGCCTGGGGGTCCTGCAGGGGAATCTCAGAGAAGCTTTTCCTAGCCTGGAAATCCTGAAGGCAGGGTCAGAGCCAAAGGGCAGGGGGGCTCTCACAGCTTGTGAGCTGTTGCTTTGAAAAAACAGAGATGAGGACAAAAGGCAGGGAAGGGAAGGAGACTGAGTGATGAACATGCTGCTGCACACCCATGTCTGTCCTGCACATTGCTTGGTCAATTCTGTGGCTCCCCACCTCAATCCCTTTGTCCAGCCCCCCAGATACCCCCAGCACTGCCCCTGCCATCCCCATCTCTCTGTCCCTCTGTCCCCCATGGGCTCCCCGGCTGTCTCTTGCAGTTGAGGACGATGAGGAGGGCTGCGAGGTGAACGGGCGGCTCTACCGAGACGGGGAAGTTTTCCAGCCCAGCTGCAGAATCCAGTGCCACTGCCTGGACGGGGGCTTCACCTGCATCCCGCTGTGCCAGGAGGATGTGCGGCTGCCCAGCCCCGACTGCCCCTTCCCCCGGCGCGTGGAGATCCCAGGGAAGTGCTGCCCTGAGTGGGTCTGCGAAGGTGCCCAGGAGCAGCCCCGGGATGCCAGGGCAGGTGAGATGCAGGGCAGCTCCAGGGAGGGGAGGTGTGACCGTGTTCACAGGGGTTTTTGGTTGAGGGAAGAGATGAGGATCTGATTCCATGTTTCAGAAGGCTTGATTTATTATTTTATGATATATATGACATTAAAACGATACTAAAAGAATAGAAGAAAAGATTTCATCAGAAGGCTGGCTAAGAATAGAATAGCAAGGAATAACAAAGGCTCTGTCTCGGACTCTCTGTCCGAGCCAGCTGGACTGTGATTGGCCATTAATTAGAAACATCTAACATGGACCAATCACAGATCCACCTGCCACAGCAGCAGATAATCATTGCTTACATTTTGTTCCTGAGGCCTCTCAGCTTCTCAGGAGGAAAAATCCTGAGGAAAGGATTTTTCATAAAAGATGCCTGCGACAGGGATGCCCACGCAAATCTCTGGGCATGGCCCCTTCACCCCAGGCCGTGAAACGCCAGCAGGGGACACCTCCCAGGTCTCTCTGCCACGCAGGGCTTTGCCTGCAGCACCCCAGCGTGCACAGCACCTGCCTGCAACCCCCCTTTCCCCCGTGTCGTGTCTTGCAGCCCCCGGGGCGGTGTCCCCGCTGCTGTGGTCCCCCTGCCCGCCGTGGGGCACGGAGTGGAGCCCCTGCTCGGCCACCTGCGGGCTGGGCTTTGCCAGCCGCGTGTCCAACCAGAACCGCCTGTGCCGGCTGGAGACGCAGCGGCGGCTCTGCTCGGCCGGCCCCTGCCCGGCCCTGCCCGCAGCGCTGCCGGCGGTGAGTGAGGCTGGGGGAGCTGCTGCTGCTCCGGGGGGAACGCGGCTAATGGCAAAGGGAAGGGCCAGCAACTCTTCTTACCTGTGGACCCCCGTCAGCCCTCCTCAGCCATGAGCTGAGCGTGTCTCAGGACACACGAGCCATCTCCTGAAACAGCCGATGGCCGATGCTCACCAGAATGTTGGGGTCTCTGGATGTCTGAATCCAGGAGCTCTGTGGATGCCACACAGGTGAGCTCGGCCTGCCCCTACGGCCAGAGATGGATTTGCAGCTCCTGCCTGGCTCACTGGGCACACACAGGAGGTGCTTCTGCCACCTCTTTATTATCCTGGCACAACCCCAGTGTGGACACAGTGCTAATCTGCCTTTCTGGTGTGCAGGTGGCACTTTCTGCCCATTTCTTTCCCCCTGCACTGCCATGCTACATGCTCCTGCTCCCCAGCTGCACGGGACACACCACCAGCCCTCTCCATCTCCCCACTGATCTCCCTTCTGCCTTTCCAGAGGGCAAGAGGAGGTCGTTTGTAGCTGTGCCCACCCCGGATTCACCCTGGAGACAACGCCTCATCCTGGCAAAGAGTCTGGCACAAACCCATGGCACTGTGGTTATGGTGAAGATGGAGGGTGTTTCCACTGGGAAAACAGAGAAGAAATGATGGACTTTGGCTGCAAAGGAGGCTGGAAACAGAGAACAAGATCCCTGTGTCACCCATCACCTGACTCCTCTGCACACCCCGCTGCCCCAGGCAGGGCTACTGGGCAGCATTCCGAGTTCCTTAGGCTGAATGAAATGGGAAGTGGGGAAATGCTGCTCTGAACATAAACCCACCCAAGAAACCAGGAATTGGTCCTTTCCTGGACCAGTGGGGCTTCTGAAGAGATGATGCTGCTTCTCTGCCACATCATGCAGCTCTGCTTTGCAGGGACTTCAGGAGAAACCATCTCCAGCACCTGGAAGCCAAAATCCCTGGAGGGAACCCTCATGTCCTGGCCCTCCAGGGAAGGAGCAGGTCATCGAGCTCCCTGTGAGCCCACAAGTCACTGCCACACCAGGCTGAGCTGCTCAGCCATGCAGGAGCTCAGCCAGCCCATGGTACCCACCCTGCTTTCCCGGGCATGGGCAGGGTCGCCCTGATGGCAGCTCTAACTCACCTTCCCCTCATCCCTCCAGAATAAACACGAGCCTTCCCGCTCTGCCTGGCCTCCTCCTCTGGTGGTTTGGCAGGGCTTCGGCAAGCCAGGAGCTCAGACAGCAGCAGACAGACCGCCTGCCATCCAAGCACATTCCCCATGAGCCGGGGCCAAGGGAGAAGCAGGGAAAAGGGAAAACAAATCGCAAAGATGAGTCGGGGCCGTCTCCCGACGGGCTGGAGCTGCTCCAGCCATGCAGGAGTCGGCGCAGGAGAGCTGCTCGGCTGCTCTGGCTGTACTTTGTCCCAGTAAAAAGTGCTTCTGGGTGATGGAAAGTGAAACCCAAATGCCCTCTAACGGCCTCGCATAGATGTGCAGAGAGAACGTGCAGCCGGAAGGAGCTGCGGTTTGGGTGACGCGTCCAGGTGAGAGATGGACTTCTTAGATGGGTATTTCTGGAAGTAAAAATAAAGATGTGCTCATCCAGGTGTGGAGTTTGTGTGTGCAGGGCGAGACCAGCCCTGCTGCTCAGGGCCAGCTTGGTGGGTGCAGGAAAGTCCTGGCACAGGGTGGGGCAGCTTGGAGGCACCTCAGTTCAGGCTGCTTAGAGTAAGAGAAGGAAAAAGAAAAAGAAATGTGAATCAAAGCATTGAACACATTTTTTACAATTTATTATATTATGGGTTAAATCCTTCACTCTTACCCAGCCAGAAGCTCTGCTGATGGCACAGCCCTGGCCATAGCAGTGCCCAGGTCTCCAGTGTTGGGATGTGCAGGAGAGCAGGGCAGGGCATGGCACTGCTGCTGTGTCTGCAGCCACAGGCACAGCCCCTTCTCAGCTCCCAAAAATCAATGCCCAAACTCCCCTGTAGCTCATCCCTCCTGCTGCCAGGCCCACATTTCCTCCATTCCCCTGGGCTGGGATTTCCCCAGCATGGCGCAGCCACCATCAGCAGCTCGCTGTGCTCCTGACCAGGGCAGGTCTGGGGCTGAAGGGACCAGAGCCTGAATGGCAGGGGGAGCTCCTCTCTCCAGCCCAAGGAAAAGCCTCCCCTGCAGCAGCAGAAATGGCAGCAGGGCCAAGGCAACTCATTCATTCCCTCAGGCCCTGCAAGAACTGAAAAGAAAATGAAAGTCAAGGATGCGGCTCAGCCACCTCATGGGGGTAAAAAAAAAAAAAAGAGAAAGAAAAAAAGAAACCTCACTGCTCTTGCAGTAAAACACTGCCTACAAAGAGAATTATTTACTGCAATCATCTGGTGCTCAGCCTGAATACAAATCATTCATTCTGTTTGATGTGGGGCACATGGTGAACCTCCAGCAGGCGGCAAATCACAGAACAAACAGTTTGGGTTAGTTTTTTAGTTCTCTGGTGGCCATGCCAAACAAGTGGTGACCCAAAGCCCATGTAGACTTCAAAACTACCACATTCCTCAACTGACATGGATAAAACACATTGTGGGTACTGAAAATCCTGGTTTTAAGCCAGTTCTTGTTCAAGCGTGTTGGGACTCAGCCACCAAGGCTGGGTGAGCTGCCAGGGCTGTCACACACTCCCAGATCCTGCCTAGCCACCTCTGGGTGATGGTAAAAAATCAGAAGGTCACTTTTTAGGCAGCAACCTGCAATTCTCATCTCAAACAAATGACTCAACACACCTCTGCTATAATTATCTTTTTTTTACCCTGCAGAATGTCTCCCTGATTCACTAAGCATCTAAATAATGAATTAATGATTCCAAATAAATCAGAGTCATTTTTCCCTATGAATACAGGGAAATCAACTCTTGCAGTTTGATTGCTAATCTCACAATATTTCCCTCTAAAGCCCTGCTACCCTGGAAACGTGGTTATTTGAGGCTCTGACGCAGGGTCCTGGCTTTGCCTGCTCGTGTGGGGCAACAGAGGAATATTCCACCCCATCCACAAGTGATGTGTAAGGATAAAAATCCCCAAACTGAAAGAAAATTCACTCCTGTCCTCGAGGCACATCTGCACACAGCCCAAGATCTGCCAACCACACTCCTGAGCCGGTGATGAGCAGCAGAGCACAGCTCATTTCTGTGCAAGCACACGCAGCAGCTGAAGGAAAACTGTCCTGCTGGATGAGTAAACAACATGCATCAGAATTGCTTTTCCCAGCCATTCTCATGATTGATGATTTTTAAAGCATAGAGTTGGGTGAGAGAGGGCTGGATGAGCCCCTTGTTAAAGTGAAACATTTTCAGAAACTGAGCACAGGAATGCAGTGCTCAACTGAAAAAAAAAAAATATCAAGTAGATCAAATGGGTTTTTTTATTTTTCCTGGAAACACAATTCAGGTTCTGTGTTTGCAGGAGCTGTCTTGGCCCTGAGTTCTCATCCTGACATCAGCACTGCTGTTGCCTGCCAGAGCCAGCAGCCAGAGGGGAGCATCCTCATGCAGGATGTTTGGGCAGAGCTGGCAGTAGCACCTGTTACTGTGAGTGAAACCATGGGTCAAGTGAACACCTAAAACACACAGGAGGCAGGCACAAGAGAAAAGCTCTGTGCTTGTGCCTTCAAAGGGTCCAGGGAACAGGAGATGTGGAGGGCATGGGGCTCCAGCCATTCATGGACAGCGCTCCCCATGCCCTGCTCTGCTCCTCTCTTCCCATGGCAGGAGGCACCAGCTCCAAGCTTTCATTCTCAGGACAGGGAAAATTTTGCCCTCATTGCTGAGAGCAGTTCATGACCCTTCCCATGCTCACAGAAGCCCTCCCAGCCAGCTGCTGTCTCTGCCTCAGTTTCCCCAGAGGTTGATGCTCTGGGACAAAGGGAACTGTTCCTCTCCTCTCGCTGCCCTTCCACAGCTCCATAAAGTTGCTCTGCAAGTGCCACCCCAAGCCCAGGCTGCAGGAGCAGCTGAAGTGCACAGAGACGAAGGGGGCAGCAGCAGGGCAGGACGGGGCCACTTCCCTGAGGGGTGCACCCCCATGGACCCCCCCCACTGCTGTAACTCCAGCGGCACAGACCCACCAGAGCCTCTGCAAACCGCAGAAAAGCCATATCTTCACCACAAGGAAACAGCTTCCACGCTTCACCTTTTCGGCGGCACACCCATAACGGTGAGATTTTATTGCACCGGCAGGAAATAACACACGTTTCCCATCGCTTATCTGCTCCAGCAAGCACTTTCTGAAGTCAACAAGCACACTGGTACCTTCAACACGCAGCTAACCCCCACCTCATCTGCGTCTTGGGCCTGCCCACCGTGTACCCGAGCGTGGTCCAGCGGAGATGCTCGGCCGCTCCCGAGGAGGGATGGACGCGAGTCGGGATGGCTGGGCAGGACTCACCCTCCCTCCTCCTCCTCCTCCTCCTCCTCCTCACTGGCTGATGAGATACCAGCCCCCTCCCGCCCCTGCCCGTACTCAATTCCCGGAAAGCAAGCGGACGCGGTCTTTCCAGAGCCTAGCCTTTCACCTCAAGCCGTTTCCCCAAGGTCGAAATGGCTTATCAGGGTAAACCTCTGATTGCTTCCCCGTTAACTTCCGCGCCTGCAGATCCGAGTGACTTCTGGCCCCGTTTATGCTGCAGCAGCTGCTCAGCAATGCGATGAAGGCTGCCCTTACTCGGGGTCTGATTTGGGGTCGCTGCTTTTAGCCCTTGCCCAAGTTTGGCATTATCTGCGTGTCTCCTGTGACAGGAAAGGAAAGGCACAGCCCATCTCACGTCCTCCCTGCACGGGTCTGGACGGCTCGAAGGACGAATGGGGAACGGGTTTTTGTGTTTGGGGAGGGAGATGGAAGTTGGCAGCAGGAGCAGCTGTAGGGAGGAGGCAGTTCTTGCACAGGGCTCACTCTGCCTGTGCTGGGAGCAGCCTGGTGCGTCTCTGCCTGCAGGCACTGCCCGCGGCACCGGCCATGGCGGCAGGAGCCCCATGGAACACTGCCAGTGTCCTCCTTACCTCTGCTCCTGTATTTCTGAGCCTCGCAGCCAGGAGAAAGGCTGTCAGCAATGGCAGTGAGGGAGGCTCATGGGGTGCAAGCTTCCATCCCCCGGTGTAGAAAACTGGGAGGTTTCTCCTGACCGCGAGTGGGACAGAACAGAAACAGGCTGAAAGCTTTGGCTCTCCTCCTCAGGCATCCCTTTGCCACCCCTCTGCCTCCTGCTCCCTCCAGGCACCCCAAGCCAGCCGGGGGGCTGCGTGACCCCGGCTCGGAGCGGGCTGGGGGAGGCGCCGGGGGAGTGGCGGAAACCGCTCTGCTGAGGCTGCTCTCGGCGTACCCTCCCCGTTTCCCGGGGAAAGTCCGGCGCCCTGAAGCCCCAGGCTGGGCTCAGCCGGAGCGGAGAGGTGAGGGAGCCTCAGCCTGTGCCGGAGGACACGGAGCTGCCGCGGCACCGGTGCCCCCGAGCTCTGCCACCCTCTGCCACCCTGGCACGGCTGCCGCAGCCCCCATGGCCGCGGACGCTCTCTCCACGTGGCCCGGCAATGGCACTCGGGCTCCTTGCCCCGTGGATTCCGCCTTCGCCCATCGCTTCCTGCCCGCCGTGTACCTGACCGTGATCCCCCTGGGGCTGCTGGGCAACGGGCTGGGGCTGTGGCACCTCTGCACGGGGCCCCGCGATGGTGCCCGCCAGCCCCTCAGCCTGCTGGTGGGCAACCTGGGGCTGGCCGACCTGCTCTATGTCAGCACTCTGCCCTTCCTCGTCAGCTACTACCGCCAAGGCAGAGTGTGGATCTTCGGGCAGCCCTGGTGCCGCCTCACACGCAGCCTCTTCCACCTCAACCTCTACGCCAGCATCGGCTTCCTCAGCTGCATCAGCATCCACCGCTACCTGGGCATCGTGCACCCGATGAAGGCGCGGGGCAGGTGCCGGGGTGCCACCTCCTCCGTGTGGCTCAGCGTGGCAGTGTGGCTCTGGGTCATCGCACAGATAGCTCCCGACCTCGCCTTCAGCAAGGCAGATGGCAACAGGACGCAGTGCCACGACACGACGGGACAGGAGAACCTGCACGTTTACTTGCCCTACACCTTTGCTGTCACCATTACGGGGTTTGTCATCCCGTTCCTCATCATCATCGGCTGCTACTGCCACGTGGTGTTCGTGCTCTGCAGGAACGACAGCGTGGACGCCAGCCTCAGGAGGAGAAGCATCGGGCTGGTCATTCTCGTCATGGTTCTCTTTTCCATCTGCTTC